ATGTATCTACTGGGGGTGGGGAGGAGAAGAGAAACGTAAATTGAGGGACCTTCTGGAGAATACATTTTCTTCCTATTTATAACAAAATTCTGTTCATCAAGCTGCTAACATTCTTTGTTGACTAGTCAAATACTTTGTATAGAGAGCTGGAAACCTGTAATCACCTTGCCAAATGCCATGTTCCTGTGTGTAAGCTGGATAACTAGATCTCATACAATGTATGGAGAGAAATGTCTGCAAGGATGATCACCAACAATGTAATGCTGGTGATCACTGTGAGGTGAGATTTCAGGAGATTTGATGCTTTCTTCTCTGTACTTAATTGTAGAATCTTTTTATAACTAAGAGAACACAAAAGATATTTACCCAAAAAAATGAAACAGGCAAAAGATCATTGAATACTTCTGGCCCCTGATCTATTTTATTTCTGAAAATCAAACAGGAAACTTGGCATCATCCTTAGGAATAGACAGGTAGATCCAGAGCAAAGTTCCTGGTTAGCTCTTCTAGTTGGCCTTTACTAGGTACACATTAATATCACCTTTTGAAAGGTGAGGAAATTGTAAAGAGGTTAGAAAGGTCAAGAAAGTAGTCCAACACCACACATCTTTTTTCTTTTTTTCTATTTTAGGATCTATGTATGCATACAAGAACTGGGGTACAAGCCAGAGTTACTGGGGGTGGGGGTGTGTGAGAGGATTCACCAGAAACAAAGCAGGGAGCAGACAGGCAGATAGACCAAAAAACATGGCTGAGGGGTGCAGTGGGTGAGACAGGAGAGGTCTTCTGTGCCATGTGGTTACCTCCCTTGCTGGGGATTGAACTTGTGCCACAGTGGCTGGACAACCCCAACCCCTTGCACCACCAGGGAGCCCCCAACACCATACTTCAGTCATACAGCACTGCCAGAATCCCACTTGATCTGTCTAATTCCATTACTAGTTATTTATCAAGCTGTGTTCCATGTTTTCTGAGCTATCAATAAGTAACCTTCAGTATAAGAATAGCTGTATAGCTATGAGAAAAGTGCTTCAAAGACCTACAATGTATGTTAGCTTATAAAATGGCTCTCGAGTCATTCATTAAAAAACTGTCTATGGTTTTATGTTGCATTTATTTTTCAGTATTTTAAAATCAGATTTTATTGATTTTCCACTCATCTCCATAATCATTTAATCCCAGGAGCATAGCTTCACACCTTGACTTGTGTACATGGTCCATTCACTCACCCACAAAGCTGCTGCCACTATATACATAACACCTCTCCCTCACCTCTGATACCTGCCATAATTTTCACAGTCTCAGATTTTTTTTCTGTGTTCTTGCTGCTTTGTTTCCTGTGCTGATTTGTATTCTACAAATAAATTAAACTATCTGGTATTGTCTTTCACTTTCTAACTTATTACATTTAGCAGTCATCTCAAATTCCATCTAAGTTGTTGCAAAAGATTTTATCATTTTTAATAGCTGAGTAGTAGCCCACTGAGTGGATATACCACAATTTCTTTATCCAGTAATCCACTGATGAATCTTAAGATTGATCCCAGGTCTTGACTATTATGGACACTGGGGTGCATAACTGTTTTCATTTATTGGACAGACCATTTATTTTATAATTCAGCCTTCCATCACTAGAATGTGAGTTCCTTGAGAAAAGAGGCTAGTTTATTTTATTTATTCATTTATATTTTTAAATAAATATAATTGTTTATTTTTACATCATTTTGTACATTTTTTTTCCACCTCAATTGTAATCCCCGTGGGGGGCTAGTTTATTTACCTTTGAATCTGCAAGACCTAACACAGTACCTGATTACACTAAAAAAGTGAAGCTATTGAATAAACTAAGGCAATGGAGATTGGATGTGAGGAATTAAATAGAATCAGAGCAGACTTCCTGGAAAAGCAACACTTGAGCTGAGTCTCAGAATGATTAGTAGCTAATTAAATTAAAGGATCAGAGAGAGAAAAGGAGCCAAAATTCAACAAAGCTTGCTAGATTATTTATATGGAAGACAGAAAATGTTGCAATGTGCTGGGAGAGATTGCCAGGAGCAACTTAGGAAGGCTTTTTTACATATGCATCAAAACACCCACCATAGCCAAAATAACAAGCATCTTCATCACACTCTTTTGTGGTTTTCCCCTCACACTTTCTTGCTTTCCCTATTTACTGCTTCTTCTTTCTTCCTGTCCCTGGGCATCTCAGTCAATTATTCACTTTTATTCCTGAGTAGTATAGCATGGTGAAGTTATACCACCGTTTATCCATGTACCTGTTGATGGACTTCTGGGTTTTCCTCAGTTTGGGGCTATTGCAAATAAAGTTGCTGGGAACATTCCTGTACAAAGGCTGGTGTGGACATAAGCTGTCATTGCTTTGGGGTAAATACCTTGGATCACAGCAGCTGGGTCATTTGGTAAGTGTAGACTTAACTTTCCACAGAACTGGTCATTTGGTAAGTGTAGACTTAACTTTCCACAGAACTGACCGACAGTGTGTTGTGCCCAGTGCCATACTCACCACTGTGCAGGGGGCTCCAGTCCTGTGACCCCCTCATCTTGCCTCAGTCGTTTTTTCAAAGTTCAGCCATTGTAAGAAGGGACAGTGCTCTCTCATCTTGCTGTTAATTTTTCTAATAATGAAGAGTTACAAGTATCGCCTGCTTTTACATTCTTATGCTACTTTGTTCACCGACATTAGCACCTGTTTTTTGTTTACTGAAAGAAACCCAGAGGGGACTTTTGTTTTCACAAGTTTAAAAGTGAAAGTAGCATTCCTCAAGGTTCTACATTAAGTCCTTATCAGGACAGCTGGAATTCTGAGCTGGGACACCTCCAAGCTCCTTTTCTGTGGACTGCTTTATTCACTCTTTGGGTTGATTGTGTTGTTCCTGCTTTTACTATATGTTAATTTGATTTTATGTGTTACTGGATATGGTTTGATATGTCAACATATCAAAGTCCAAATATGCTTACAATCTAACTTTATTTTAAGTTGGTTAAAGTAATGATTTGAGGATCAAGACAGGAAGGGAAAGAGGAAGTAGAAGGAAAGGCAAAGGATAAGGAACACATAACATGACATAAATATTAGTGATTGATCTTTACATCAGAGATTATTATGGAACAGAAGTAGCTCATAAGGTTTATCTGTCACCTGGATGCATCACCCTCAAGTCCACCTGATTCTCAGTACTTTGACGCTGCATGGAGGGGACAGAGGACCATGCAAAGTCTCTGCACTAGAAAAGTCACTGCTCTAGAAAAGAAAACGAACTAACACTTTTATTTCTCAGTATCACATATTTACATAGTTTTTAAATGAGCCACTCTAGAATTTCATTACTTTTTTAAAAGATTTATTTATTTATACATACAGAACTGGGGTACAGGTGAGAAGTTCAGGGGCGGTGGATTCTGGAGAGGATTCACCAGAGACAGAGTGGGGAGCAGAACAGGCAGATGGATGAAGTACACTGCTGAGGGGAGCAGCGGGTGGGCCAGGAGAGGTCTGCC